TGACTTTCTGTCTGGCTGGTTGGACTCCAGTCAATGCAAAGAGCTGAGCCTTGAATACCATTGGAGGTTCATCAGTATTCAATTCTACACCTTCAGATTTCTCCTTTCCCCATTTCACAGTAACGGAGTAGAGCGGCATGGCGGGGAGTGAGGCAGGCAGTGGCGCAGGAAGGGTGGCCTGGCAGGAGCGAAGAGGGGAAAGGAACCAGAGAAAACCCGCGGCGGGGAACGAGGTGGAGGGGCGGACGCAGTGGCGTCAAACCGGCCACTGGCGAGCGTCGGGCCGGGGCCGCGGCCGCGGCGCCGCGCGGTCGGAGCTCACCGGAGTAGAGCGGCATGGCGGGGAGCGAGGCGGGCAGTGGCGCAGGAAGGGTGGCCTGGCAGGAGCGACGAGGGGAAAGGAACCAGAGAAAACCCGCGGCGGGGAACGAGGTGGACGGGCGGTCGCGGCGGCGGCGCTGCTGCGACGAGTCTCATTCAAACCGGCCACTGGCGATGACGCAGCAGCGCGCAGTTCGCTTGACGGAACCGCCGCGCCGTTGCGAGGCGCTGCGAGGCCTGGGGAGGAGGAGATGGTAAGTGGGAAGAGGGGCTGGCCGAGGGGAGGGGGGTGGGAGGAGGGACGGGGTGGGCGGGGCGACGCGTGGTGCCGTGCCGCCGGTGCAGGTGCGCGCCTGCGCACTGACGACAACGCCGCGCGCCGCGCCGCCTGCGCTCGGGGTCCCTACCCGGTGTGGCTGCCGGCCGGAGGGAAACGCGTTATTCCAATGCTTGTGTTTTTCAGCAAATGGTATCCTTTGTTTTCGAAGTGGTGGGCTAGGGTACAAATATGGATCTCTCCCAGTCAGTTGGCCAAGTAGCTCTCTTCCAAATTTCCTGGCACAGACGAGTCAATGCTTCCAGTGATTCATCAGTTTGCTGAAACATTGCAATTGGTATTCTGTCAATTCCTGGAGCCTTGTTTTTGGCGACTGCTTTTTCAGTGCAGATGTACTTTCTTCAGTAGCACTGGTTTCAGTATTGAAAGTACCATGGACTGCAAAAAGAACAAACAAATCTGTCTTAGAGGAAGCACAACCTGAATATTTCTTAGAGACTTTGCCACCAGGGGTCCTTTTTTTTTTTTAGGTTCATCAGTCCTGGGTTTTTTTTCTTCTTTTTTTTCAATCGTTTTATCAGGGGCTCATACAACTCTTATCACAATCCATACATACATCAGTTGTGTAAAGCACATTTGTACATTCATGACCCTCATCATTCTCAAAACATTTGCTCTCCACCTAAGCCCCTGGCATCAGCTCCTCATTTTTCCCCTCTCTCCCCA